ATATCATTATCTCACTCTCTTTGCATACACGCAACAATTAAGATTCAGACTATCTGTCTTCCTCTTTTACTCATTCTACATATATACAGCACTCAAGAAACCAGACCAACTATTCATATATGTTTATCTATCTCTCTCACATTAAGTATACACAACAGTTATCTGTCTCTCTTTCTCTCCTCTCTCTATCTCTCTACAAATACAAAACAATTTCGAAACCAGAGTAACTATATTTCTCTACCATTCCCTTTATACATACACTACAATCAAGAAATCACACTAGCTATATCACACTTTCTCACTCTCTACATATATGTATCTCTTCATCCTTCAAGTTTATTCATAAGCAACTAGCATAGTTTTCATTAACATTTTCAATTAAAACAGACTTTGATTCAGAATTTCTTCCACAACTTGTAAAAACGGCCATCGGTATTAAAAATACTGCGCAACATGAAGACCTGCAGCATGCCAACGATGATCATCGCTATGAACTGGGCACAGGACCAGTTGTTGACCATCGTGAAGCTCGATTCGGCCAGCTTGCGATCGCGGGCCTCCAGTGTGCGTATATAGTCCTGGGTCTGGCGCGAGCGCATTATGTTCACCCCGATTTTGGTTATGTAGTCGTGCATGTGTGTGTAGGTGCGATCGAAGTGATAGTCCGTGGTCATCTCCTTGATAAGCGCTTGGCGCTCCAGCTCCTCCTGGTTGGCTGCCGCTATCTCCAAATAGAAGACAACAATCTTCTGATTGAACGTGCTGATCGTATTGTCAAAGCACAATTTATAGACGCCCGTCTCATTGGCGTCCATCCGATACTTATTGCTCTGCAGCTTGTGATCCGAGGCTAGCAGATTGCGCTGCGGATCCATCAGGTTGAAATTGATGTGCGCCTCACCCTGACCACCGTATATCACCTGATATTCGAGTATTATAATTTCGGTTGCTGCCACCGGCTGATGGTAGCATTCCATGCGACCTGCCTCCGCAAAGATGGTCAAACGATGACGAAATAACTCCGCACTGCCGCCACGCACCAAGGCCAGCAGCAACAACGACAGCCACAAGGAGCAGCCTGCGATTTGGAACATTTTTTAGTTTGATATATGTATGTTATCTAGTAAACGTAAACGGAAAATCGTTGCAAAGATTTCTCAATTCGTCTAGCTGCCTGGCCTGCTCACTCAAGCAACGCCTACTGTGACTCTCCTAAGTAATAGCTCAGTGACTGCTGCCGCCTGTAACTGCCTCAATATAAACAAGTCCGGGCGCTTTCGTAGGGATTGCTCGACCAAGATATACCAGGTAATTTGGTTAAGAAATGAATTATTCAATGACTTTTTCATTTACTGCTTGAAAGTGTTGAATATCCGTAATTCAAGTTTTACTTCTCCTTTTGCTTGATAATCGATAACTATCGATTACTATAAAAGTAAATCATTCAATTTAATTCAGTCATTTTGTAAGAATGAAATAAGAAATATGAAAATATATCTCACGAAAAAAAATACGTTTTCATATGTATGTATACTAAAAGCACTATAGATCTATATATATCTATTATCGATCAATATTAAAATAATTATTAGAAATATTGAAACTTCTCTCATTGAAAATTTCTAGTTATATATATTGGAATGTGTTACACTTCTTCTTATATTTCACTATCGATTATTATCTATTAATATTAAAATACACAATTAGTACAGAACATTTGTTGGTCTTATAAAATATGTACATATATGCTGAAATGTCTCAGCAATCGAGAATTATCGATATCCATTATATGACAGATTTCAATCAGCAAATTATAGACTTTATCGAATTATCCGATGCCCAATGCGCTTGTGAACATTCAATGGTTTTAGTATATATTTATCGATGTCAGAAAATTATCGAAAAGAATATTAGCTATTCTATGGACTCTTAATATCATAGCCACAGCTCATCTCTATCATCGGATCCCAACTATCGACTCCAGCAACTCTTCTCCAATCTCATTATACCCTATTCACTTATGCATATTCAATGGTTACAGGGTATAAATAGCATACATTTGCGCAGCCATATCTTGCACCTGCACCGCCATGCCCTCACACTGCCTCGCAGCAGGAGCAGGAGCGGGAGCAGGAGCAGCGGCTAAAAGCAACTGCATCAAAAAGAATATGAATTGAGGTCGATGTGTAAATATTTGTCAACGGTAATGGAAATTTATGCTGGGCTGCTGGTGCCGCTGCTATTGCGGCTGCTGTGGCAGTTGCATGTCTCGCGAGTGGGCGTGGCAGCCAAGTGGGCGTACCTATATATATTCTTTCTGCCATCTTTTTTCTCCACTTTCTGTATGTGGCTCAAAACTGTTGGCGACGTCGACGACGCCGGCAAAAGCCGCGTTTGCCCAAAAGAAACTTTGCAAATAGACACGCACACAAACCCAACACACACAGCCACACACACACACACACACACACACTCGCACACCGTCACACATGGTTTTGTTTGCCCACGTGTGCAGCGGTTTTGCACAACATTTTTTTATAGTTTAGTTTTGAATTTTCTACAAGTTTTTTTTTTATTTTTTGTTGCGCTTCGTGCATAAAAATTTCAACCGTCGCGCTGCACTTCAGTTCGGTTATTTACTTTAAGCAAAAACAAAAAAAAATGGCGTGCAAGTACCCGGCCACGCCCCCGAACGCCCCGTTTTTAGAAAAGGGCACAAAGTTGCGTCGGCGTCGCTGCCTTTGGCTGAAATACGCAGTCGATGCATGAAAGCTGCAAATAACGAGACCAACAAAAAAACGCGCTGAAATGCCTTAAAGTGCGAAGTGATGAACTGGCACATACCCTGTAATTGTGAGTAAGTGAGGCCTGGCTAGATATACAGATGTGCTAGCTCAACTCTTCCCCAAGTGCTTCGAATTATACAGACTTAGCAATAGGTCGAACTGTTTGACTAATAGATACCCTGTAATGTGGTTTTATGTGGTGAATGGAGGAATTTCCTATACTATATATACACTAGACTAAAATCTCTACTAAAGATCCACTCAAGAAGTTTTATATGTGTATGATCGAAATACGGATACCCTGTACTATTATATCATCTATTATTTATGTGATTGTCGCAGTTACCCTACATTAGGCTCTCCATTTGGTTGCATACGGCCCATAAAAGTTCATCAGACTCTCTAACATGCATTGTGTATTTTTACAGGGTATGCAAATGTTTGTCGGGGTCGATGTCGCCATCGCCATGTGGCAGCTGCCAGGTGCCAACTTGATGTGGGCCAACTGGGAGCGAGCTCAATGCTGTGGCTCTGTGTAACTGGGCGCCAAGTTTTTCACATGCCGTACCAGCACCCTCTCCCCCCTCTGTGTGTGTATGTATTGCTTTAGTTGATTGTTTGCCCGAGGCGCATGAGATGCAAAGGCAGAGAGGCACCTGAACAGGTAGTGGCATGTCAGCATGAGAGCCAATTCACATTTATGAAATTAGGAAAATTGATAGCTGAAATGATTTATTTTTACTTGGCCATCATAAATGGGCAGGAGACGGCGATGGGATAGTTTTAGGTGTTTGTAAACAGTTCAATAAGCGAATGCTCTGTGGACATTATGCGAAAAGTTGCTGGAAAACTTTTGCCATAACCGTAAACGTCCAACGAGTTGTTGTAAGTCTTCATGAATGAAATGGGTTCTGAGTTGTCTCTAAAGGAGTTAAGGGATTGGCTACTTGACCCAGGCTGTGTCTGCTTTCAGTCTCTCTATTAAGCAATAAACATGAATTTAGGTCTGGAGTTCTGCTTGGGATTGTATTTTAACTAGAAAGAATTAAGCTTAAAGCATGGAAATGTGGATTTTTTTTAAAGCCAGTTTAAAGCACGAACCTAGCCAGATTAGGCCCAGACGTGTTCAATCCTTGTCAAGGACTGTCAAACGAGCGCTTGACAAGGTCAAATGCGTTCATAGCTGGCCCAGTTGAACCCTTGTTAATGGCAG